GGGCTCAGGCAACCACTCACCTCAGCCTTCCAAAGGCGCGGGATTACAGGCTGAGCCACCGAGCCCAGCTCTAGGCTGGTTTTAAACTCCTGGGCTCAAGCAAGTGATCCTTCCACCTCTGATTCTTAAACTGCTGTGATGACAAGCATGAGTACTATGCCTGGCCAACAGTATCTCAATAAAAAATGTCTCTAGACATTGTCCAATGCCTTCTGGGGATTGGGGGGAGGCAAGATTACTACCAGTTGAGAACCACTGCTGTAAACAGAAGCACAATGAAATAAGTACGCTCCCAATAGAAACATAAATCTCTGTGAAAAAGAAACTTTAAGAATTTTACAAAGAAGTTAATTGGAGATAAACTACTAGCAGCTGGGAGCAGAAACTGGTCAACACATTTTGCTTTAGTGATATTTTTAGCTCCAAAGCAAGCACTGTGCACTTAGTGGGGCTCAGGAAATCCTGTAAGATACTATAGGTGTTTGCCTTCTGAGGGATTCAGCAGTCCTCGCAAGCATTAAATGCCATTTACTTTCTGTGAAAGTAATCAATAAGGACTGATCACAAGGAGTGCACAGAGAAGCAGGAAGCAAATCTGAGCTGAGCAGCAGGCTGGGCCAAGAGGAATAATGAGGAAGGAAGAGAAAGGAGATATTCTCTTCTACTAGTCATGGGACAGTTCTGTGGGCCAGCCTCTTGGGAAGTATGGCAGAAAGTTGACGAATAAGGCCCTAGTGCAGCCTCAACAAAGAAGACCTATGCATGCAGGCCAAACTGAGTTTCTAATTCTCGACTCTTCCTCTGTGGCTGGACTGGAGAAGGCACAGTCCCTGTTCCCTGGGACTGCTGACCTGCTCGCCGATGCCCTAGAAAGCTCAGTGCAGCAACTCACCTGCCTCAACTCTGCCTACCAGCGTCGCCTGTGATCTGCATGAGACAAGGATCACCAACATATCGCTTTCTTTTTTCTTATTTTTTGAGTCGGAGTCTCACTCTGTTGACCAGGCTGGAGCGCAGAGGCATGCTCACAGCCACCACAGCCTCGACCTGCTGGGCTCAGGTGATCCTTCTACCTCAGCCTTCCAAGGAGCTGGAACTACAGGTGTGTGCCACCATGCTCGGCTATTTTTTTGATTGATTGTAGAGACGAGGTTTTGCCAAGTTGCTCAGGCTGGTCTCGAACCCCTGAACTCAGGCAATCCTCTCACCTTCACCTCTCAACGTGCTGGGATTACAGGCATGAGCCACTGCGCCCGGCATCATCTTTCAATGGCTTCCCCTCTGACAGTTGTTAAAGGAAACAGAAGGCAATAGGAGGCAGCAGCAATGTGGAATCAATGACTAGGATTTAAGGCTGTAAAACAAGTGCTCTCTCCTTCGAAAGCAACAGCAACAGTCTGCAAAAAGAACCAGCGAGCAGAGGCATCCTCCAGTGGCTGACCCTTCTTTGGGGGTGTGATCTACCTCATCCTGTATTTTGGTCACACAACCACTACTTCAGTCCTGTGCTACTCCTGGTCCCTGTAGATGGGGAAACAGACATGCCTGTCCTGAGTCACTTATGGGGACACATACAAGACTGAATTATGTTCCTGTGTTCAGCACCCTCTGTGAGAAGATGTGGCATCTGAGCCTCATATGAGGTTCCTCTGCTTGTTACAAATATTTTATAAAGACTAATTCAAGCGAAAGCAAATATCCTTGGTACTCCTGAAAGGGAAAATAACTCAAAATGGGGCAACACGGGGCTAAGGAGAGGCTCTGTCTTGGGAATGACCATGGGCTGAAGCATATCTATGAACTACATGCCCAGTACCTTGGTTTCCCAAGGCAGCCAGAGCAGGGTTCTGCTCACATTATGCTGAGATGGGGCCTGTGAGGAATTCAGAGCAGCATCGGCAGTCAGTTCTTCAACTTATCTGGGCTCAGGGGATGACACGCTCTTTGGGTCTCATGGGGGATCATTAATCGTTCTCCTAGGATGGGGGATTTTTTTTTTTTTTTTTGAGTTGG